ATGATCCAAACAGTGGCAGGCAGGCTCCTGGACCTCCTCCCAATGTGTCCGTTCCCCCTAGTTTAGGAAAAGTATGGGGTAGGAGAGAAGACCTTCTTTCTTGGAGGGGAGCTAGGGGTCGGGGCATGTGAGGAAGAGGTCGAGGACGAGGGAATGGTGTTTCTTGTATCTTGAATAGAAACACTGAATATCAGAAGCAGCAGCAATTGAATGAAATGTTAACAAACTCGTCTACTATTATCCAGGTAAGCAACATTTATTGCGTTTACTTCCCTTTCCAAATAGGGAACGTCTGGGGTCTGTGTCAGGGATTCACATTTTCTCACTAGTGATGAAGTCACATGACTAATCCCATTTTTTCAGAATCCAGTAGAGGCTCTCAAGAAAGATTACAGTCTGTTACCACTGTTAGCAGCTGCCCCTCAAGTCGGAGAAAAGATCGCATTTAAGGTATGTTTGAAAACAGTAATAATGACAATGAAAAAGGTTAATCCCCCTTCCAAATAAACCTGTTTGTCAAGTCAGGTTACATCTTTATAGAATGGCCTGCCCACAGCAGGGCAGCAGCAGTGCAGCGCGTGCAGCGCTGGAAGCATGTGGAAGATCAGTGATTTGCTTCCCTGGTCCGCCTGTTCTTGCTTGTCGACCCATGCGCCCCGCCCCGATCCTGGCTGCCTGGGAAGTGTGGAGAGAGGGTCATGGTGTGAGACCCTGAGAGGGTGCTTGTCTTCCTCTGTCACTGTCTCATGAAATAAGTACATTTAAAAAGCTCAGGGGCCAGCATGTGATGTGGAGGCTGAGGTGGCTGGAACCTGCACAGTTGACTGCATGGTTTGTGTCCCAGTCTTGACAGCTTGAAATTCATGCCAGGCGCGTGTGTGTGCCAGTCCAAAATCCTGGAAGGAGAGTGGAGGAGAAGGGATTGTGGATGGCCACTCCCCCAAGAGATTATTTCTCACCTTTTTCTCTCTGTCTCCCTGGCAAGCACATGTACCCTATGGCAAAAATCTTTTATTTTTTTCTTAAAGAGTTATTTATTTAATTTTATTTATTCATTTATTTTAATTTGACTAGAGAGAAACACACAAAGAAAGAGAGTGGGAAAGTGAGGAAGCAAGCCACTAGGTCCAGGACTCGAACTGTTGTTGGCCATGTGGGAGTCTCCGGCAGGGAGTCTCCAGCGCCTTAACCACCATGCCAGCCTTTGGTCCCAGCAAAAATCTTAAACAAACAAGTAAACCCTTCCCATTGGAACTCTAGTATTGTCATAGATTCATGGTTGGCCTCCAGAATAGTGGTGGTGGGCACTCTACACTGCACATTTCAGGAGGTGTGGGAGGGAGGACCCACAGGAATGGGGGCTTGTGTATTTGTGTTTTTTTCCCCCTCCTTTTTTTTGGTGGTGGGGGAGAGGTTTTTGCTCTAGGGCACGTGCGCTTGCCAGAAAGACGGAGAGAGACAGAAAGCGAGAAATCACCCCCCGGGGGGATGGCCATGCCGCAATCCCTTCTCCGTTCTCCTCTCGGGATCTTGGGCACACATGCACATGCGCCCAGCATG